TTTGCATCCTCAATTTGAGCAGGATAGTTATTTCTGAGACGAAAAAAATCATCTTTAGTTATTCTCTCTTTGAATTGGTTTAGTGAAGAGTAAAAAAATTAACTTCGCAGTTGAATTAAATTCATATTTATCAAAATTTTAATATATACATACAATTTGTATATACAACATATTTATTATTTAATGAATTGACTTTCAATTTATGAATTGGTTGAAATTTGAACATCCCCTAAAAAAAAAAATGAAAATCCTAAAAACGAATAAGAACCCAGAAAAACAATGCCCATATATATATATATATATATATATATATATGATTTGCTAATTTTTTTTGCCTCGTCATTGTGTAAATATAAGGAGAGAGGTGGAAAAGAAAAATAAAAAATAAAAAATAAAAAATGGGAAGTACAGAATGGTGAGAAAAAAAAAAAAAAAAAAGTTAGCCACCCTTTTTTTTGTTCAATCATTCTCTTTATTATTTAAGGTTAACCCTAATAACTCATAATTATATGATTTGTTTTTCTTTATAATTTTGTTTGAGTAACATGTTTTGTATACATATTTTAATTTTAGTTGAATTGTTTTAAAGTGAGGTTATTTTGAAAGATAAAATTAAATTGTATAATATAATATATTGTATAAAGTATAACATATGGAATGTGGTAAAATAAAATTAATCTTTTTTTTTTGACTTACTGTCTTGGCCAAAGGTGGCGTTAATCACTACCATTAGTTACTCATTGGACGTCGTCCAGTAAAAGAATAACTGGAGATGGTTTTTTCCTAATGATCTATCTTCTAAATTACCACTAAGGTTTTAAATGAATAAGATAACTTTTGCCTATTTAATCAAATATTCAATTAACACTATATTTGTCACTGGGTTTGAACCTTGTGAATTTGTATAAAATATTTGATTGCTTTATAAGCATCATTTCATATTGTGTGGCTACTGTGTGAGTTATTATCGAGAAAAATAAATAAATAAATAAATAAAATAATAGTTAATCAGTCCATGAACTTGGGTCCATACCCTACACATTGGATAGCCAGGCCCAAGGGAAACCTGGGTAAAATTCCATAGCCGTCCACATTGAAATAGACTTCACCAAAGCCCTTATTATATAAATGGCCAACTATTTATTGAAATGGACTTTCACCAAAGCCCTTATTATATAAATAGCCAACTATTTAACCCCATCCAGACTAACCCACAAATCAGAAGGTGTCCATTTTCGACTCTTCAAGAAGTGCTCATTTACTACTCTGATGTCTTGTGGGACCCTCAATTCTCATCTTTTAAAAAAGGTTGTAGGAATTGGTGTGGAAGTTGTGTGGGAGAGTCTGAGCCTGCTTGACTAGGTCAAAATGAGGGAGGCAACTGATGGGGGTGTGTAGGTGGACTTTGAATAAGAAGAAGAGTTGGGTGGAACTTTTTCCAATAATGACGACGATGCCTGCATTGCATTATGGACTACCTATCCACACCCTAATACTTTTCAGAGCTTACCTTGTTAGAAAAACAGGGGAAACGATTTTTTCTATATTGAGTAGAGGGAATTTTCTTGGACTTTGATGCACGACTATACACATTGAAAAACTAGTGATAAAACATTAAAGTTATATATTAACGGGATAAAATAATAAAATCTCCTTTATTTACTAAAATGCCCGTAAAATGTTTTGACATTTCTAGTTAATATTAAATTAAAAGTTGTAATTATTATTTTTAAATTACAAAAATTATCATTTATAATATATTTTTTAATGTTAGTTGGGTATTTATCTCACTAAATATCGATGACCCATTTCTCGTCCCAATATTTCTTTTGTAATTTTAAAATAATTATTATAATTTTTGAGGATAACTTGATAAATTTTGTTAGTTGAGGAGATTTTTTAATTTTACTTGAAGTTTTATGCACAATTTTAAAAGTAGAGAGATATTTTATGATTTAACTCTATATTAAGACGCAATAATTACACATGAATAAATTTAAGCAAACAAACAAAGAAACGAAAGACAAAACTAGATATACGTTAAGAAATTAGAATTATAAGAAAATCATATACCTTCAACAAAAGGAAGCGGAAACTAATATAAAATAAGGGAGTTGGCGCTACACCAATATCCTTAGGTGCCTCAGGGGCATAACGGTGTTGGTAGGGATCGGGAAGGTAAATTTTTGAGATCTCACATTCGAATCGCACTCATAACTTAAATGATGCATGTATTGTGGGGCTGATACATGCATTTTAAAAAATATATGCTTAGAGACTCCGGTCTCCTTCTCTCTTAAAATGAAATTATTAAAATAGCCTTAAATTACACAATGTTTGGTCTCTACAATTTTCATTCTCATAACTGCCCTTTTAGCATCTACATAATCTATCTCAAGTTCTCACCTTCTACAACTTGTAAAGTCTAAATAGATATAGAAGATAAAAACACAGAAACAAACCCTATAAAGAAAATTTATAGAGAAAGTATGTTATATAGAGTGTGCTATGAGAGATTTGGTCCACTGGTTATGAAGTGGAGAACTCGATGGAACAAAGCAATTTTCACAACTGCTGTCAAATCATTTGTGCTTGTGTACATGAAAACCCCAAATTCAGTCTTCAAAAAAATTTGAAGGTCCAACATCCAGATTAGATTCATTAAATGCATAATAAAATATACATACAAGTAAGCTTTTCCTGGAGGATTCTCAAGCATGTAAAATTACAATAGTTGAACTTCCCTCATTAATTTTGGAATATGAGAGATAGAGGGCAGTAGATGTGTTGCAGGGATTATGTGTTGTTGGCAAAGAGATGAAAGAATCCTAGTCAATAGAGTTTAGGGCAAATATGACATTAAAATTATTTTGTATGGTTCAAGGACTATTTTGTAAATTTATTTTAAAAAATAAGAAAGTGGAGGGCCTCCTTAAAATAAAATTATGCTAAAGCAAAAGGTAAATTGCAAAGAAAACTGAAAATATTATTGATGAATGAATCATGATGCCCTTAGTAAATTTATTTATAAATTGTACGGAGAACTTAACGGTATAAAGAATTCTAAAAACAATCCAAAAGATACTCAAATTCTACTGATAGCCATTAAATATTATTAGGTGGAGAAATAAAAATCAATCCATTAAGAGTCTTTTTTATGGAGATCTCCTATGTCAAGCTAATTTACTTGCTATCATTTTTTTTTAATTGTTAATTTTTTTTAACAAAATTTATAGCTTTCTAAAAGTTGTTGACGCAAAAAGTAGAAATTGAGTTGACTATGTTTTCGGCAGCACAAAATACCCATTCGAAGAATGTGTTGCCCCCCTTGTTGATGCACCCCTTGGCCACAATGGGCACAATTCTTATGATGAATTACAAAAGAGCGAGAGTGCATTTCTAGTAATTCATTTCGGATTGAAAGTTGGGTTTGATTTTAACATCAATTGAAATGAATTTGTACTTGTTTATTTACTCAAAACGTTACATACCAACTTATTTATACCCTTCTTATTTTTCATCCGAATCCAAAATGAGAAAAATACTCCTTGTAACACTAATTCATTATGTGTTTTTTCATCTTCCTAGAAATTATAATATTACTTATTTTCACGCCAGACCTAAGTTGTATTAGTTTGACGTTAATATAATTGATTACTCTGTTGTATAAACTATGTCGTCTGTCACGTGCTTATTTTGAAGGTTCCAAACGCCATCCTTTTTCTCTTATACGGTACAAGTTTCGTTACATCACAAGAAGGAAGGAAATTTTGTTTATATATTCCTAAATACAGGGATTGAACCTGGACAAGAAATGAAGAAAGTTCAAGAGAGAGAGAAACTACTTTTTCATAAATAAATAGAATAATGTTTGGTGCATCTTTGAATCGAAGAGAAACGGAGATTCCTCGAAAGGAAAACGCACAATTAGACAAGGAAAGCCCTACGAACTTTCCACTTTAATTACACTTCCAAACTTTTGTATGCAATAGTGAAGAGAGATGTCGGATGTAGCGATTTGGGCACTACCATTTTTCATAAATGGAGCTTTCGAGTGAAAAGACAGTTTTACCCCTCAGTTAAAACAACATTATTGATTACCCATTCACTTGGGTGGAATTCAAGACATTTTTTTTTTTGTCACACCAAATGGATTTCATTTGTGATGGATTCAAATATGACATGATGAAATTTGGAGACGGAAAATGGGTGGAAAAATGAGGATCAGTTCTCGAAGATCTTGTATAAAGTAAGAAATTCAGGATATTTTTTCAGTCTAACTCATTTGATTAACACAAAAAGACTGATATCATTCTTTTCTTAATTTTGCTCCTTCTCTATTTATGTTGTTGTCTCTTCTTAATTCTTAATTCATTCACTAAGGAACATACGCAAATGACAAACATGTGTCCGTTAATAGATTTGTTCCTTCTCCATTTACCTTCTTGTCATTTCTTAATTTATGATATAGAGAGGAAACTAAAATTTCATGTGAGGAGACACTTACCCTTTTATTGAAGGACTGTTTGGTTATTGCCAATTTGTTGAAAACTGCAAAACATATGCAAATGGGAAAAATGCGTTTTTGGCAACATTTTCGAGAGCGATGCGTATATTTTAGAAAAAGGCAACTATAAAGGAATTCTTTTTAAAAAAACCTAATAGAATGTCAATACAATTTTAAACAATCATTCAAATATATTTTTTATTTATCTTGTTTGAAATATTATGTTACAAATTTAGTTACCAAACATATTTTAATTTGAAAATAAATAACAGCACAGCAACAAAAATAAAACATTACTTTTGCTAGTATAAAATTGAAAATGTGAAATAAAAGTAGTTGTGAAATATAAATAAACGTCATTCATGACTTATTCGGTATATTCATGTACATTAGTGTTCGTACAACGGTGGGGTATATTCGGTATATTATTTTGATAAATATAGTGGAGTGCCCCATTCAATAACATCGAGGATTAAATAGGACATAACGAAACAAAAGACGGTACAAGAAATTAATGTCCAGGTTCATCCTCCCAAATTGACTTAAAAAATTCACCAAACCAGTCCCTATAAAATCAACATGAAATCTATCCAACAATCCAACTTCATACCATTTTTCACAAGATTTTTTGCCCATCCCATTAAACCATCTCATATTTTTTTAATTCTCAATACGCCTCTCTCTCCATTGTTGTTGTAACCTGTAAATTACCTCAAAAATCGAACCAGAGAGAAGGTCTTAAAGCTCTATCAAAACACCTCCAATGGCGACCATGTCTGCTGTTTTCATCAAAACACCAAACCCACCTTTCTCTTTAGCCAAAACCCAGAAAACCCAATTCACCACATCCAACAATCTCTCATTTTCTCAGCGTCCAAACAAGAAGACCCATCAAAGGACCCGAATTCATTGCGGGTTGATCGAGCCAGATGGTGGGAGGCTCGTTGAGCTTGTGGTTGAGAAGTCTCAGAGAGACCATAAGAAAAGACAGGCCCTTTCGATGCCTCAAATCAAGCTATCAAAGATCGATCTTGAATGGGTTCATGTGCTCAGCGAGGGTTGGGCTAGCCCGCTCAGAGGGTTCATGAGAGAATCTGAGTTCCTCCAAACTCTTCATTTCAATTCGCTCCGCCTCGAAGACGGTTCCTTCGTCAACATGTCGGTGCCAATTGTGCTCGCCATTGACGATCTGCAGAAGAACCAGATCGGCGGGTCCACATCCGTTACTCTCGTCGACGCCGGCGATAACCCGGTTGCGATTTTAAGCAAGTAAGGACATTTTGGTCATTTTCTCTTTTGAATTGCATGTTTATGTGAAGTACATGTAATTGTAATTATAGTTGTATGTATGTTTAATTGTCTAATTTGAATTATGTTAATATTATTTTAAAACTGCGAAAGTGATTAAATTATTATATGAAATATGGTTATTTACAAAGATGATGCAGTTGCTTAGCTTATATAGGATGGATTATAAAAAAATAATAATAATAAAAATAAAAATAAACAAAAAAAAAAAAAAACTGAATTTTAAGACTGGGATTTAATTTTTAATGAAGCTCAAAATTGTAGTAAATTGGTAATTGTTATTATTATTATCTCGACAATTTATTTTCTTGTGCTGGTGGATTAGTGAAAGAAAAAAGCTTTTTACAAGTATTCAAAGTAGTAAGGTAATGAATGAGGTCATGCCTAACATATTGTTGATTTAGTCCTCTTGGTGTGTGGCCCTTGTTTGTTATTGATCATGTGTTATAAATGCTATGACAGAGCTGACTTCCTACATTATATATGATTATGTGTGTGACAGTATTGGACTCAATTCTTCAATTTGTATATTTTAAAATTGAGAAAAATAGAATAAAATAGAGACCATCTTTGAAAAACTGTTTCTATACCTTGCTCCAATGGCATGGTATTTTCATGAATTAACTCAGATGGACATTTGCCCCATTATTTACTACTTTCTGATTGTTTAATTCATGGAGTTGTGAAGAGCTTATGTTGTCTTCTTTATTACAATTACAGTATTGAGATATACAAGCACAACAAGGAAGAACGAATAGCGAGAACTTGGGGAACCACAGCCCCTGGTCTACCTTATGTTGAGGAAGCTCTAAGTAATGCTGGAAACTGGTTGATTGGAGGTGACTTGGAGGTTATAGAACCAATCAAGTACCATGATGGTCTTGATCGGTTCCGATTGTCCCCTGCAGAACTTCGTGAGGAATTCACGAAACGTAATGCAGATGCAGTGTTTGCTTTCCAGCTGAGGAATCCTGTGCATAATGGCCATGCTTTGCTGATGACTGATACTCGTCGTCGGCTTCTTGATATGGGCTACAAGAACCCTGTCCTATTGCTTCATCCATTGGGAGGCTACACTAAGGCAGATGATGTTCCACTAAGTTGGCGAATGAAGCAACACGAGAAGGTGCTTGAAGATGGTGTTCTTGATCCAGAGACTACTGTGGTTTCTATATTCCCATCTCCCATGCATTATGCTGGCCCAACTGAGGTGCAGTGGCATGCAAAGGCTCGGATTAATGCAGGAGCCAACTTTTACATTGTAGGTCGGGATCCAGCTGGTATGGGCCATCCAGTTGAGAAAAGAGATCTATATGATGCTGACCATGGGAAGAAGGTACTGAGTATGGCTCCCGGACTGGAGCGACTAAACATCCTCCCTTTCAAGGTACACAAAGCATCTTAGCTTTTATTAGCTTCATCATGGCAATCTTGTCAGTTAATTTTTGTAAAATCCAGAGTACTTATTTTTCCTTGTACTTCTGCAGGTGGCTGCATATGATAAGACACAGAGTAAAATGGCATTTTTCGATCCTTCAAGGGCTCAAGATTTCCTCTTCATCTCAGGCACCAAGGTATCTTTCATTCCTTAGAGTATTGCCAACCTTTCCTTTAATATATGAATGATCCAGAACTCGAAGTATGACCATAAAATGAACAAAGCTACTCGAGCTTGGTTCATGATCGACTCAGGTGGGTGTCTTTCGAAAAGATTAGCCCATGAGAGGGAAAAGGCCAAGATTAATCATATCTAAGAACTTCCTTAGTCTTTAAATTTGCATTAATAAGCACTCTAGTCTCCATTTATGATTGGCTTGATTAGAAGGCTCATTGAGATTGGCTCAAGAGACAAGAGACTTGTTCAAGAAAATGCATTAGACTTTACATTTGTGATTGGAAAAGTTAGAAGGGAGAGAGAAATTAGTGAAAGAAAATGCATTACATTCAAGTACATTACATTTTATGCTTGTAGTATATGCCATAAGACTCATATCTGAATGCTTGCATCTTGCAGATGAGGACACTTGCAAAGAACAGGGAGAACCCTCCGGACGGATTTATGTGCCCTAATGGTTGGAAAGTGTTGGTAGACTACTATGAAAGTTTGTCTTCGGCCGAGAGTGGAAAAGTTCCTGAAGCTGTTCCAGCTTAGGAGGAGGATAGGATTCGTGCTGTCAAAACATAATACCTTATGCTTGGGAGGAACATTAAAACCTTTCTCCAGTATGAGGTTAACACAATAAATTAAGGCAGTGGTACATAGACAGATAGCTTTGTCTTGTTAATCTGTAATAGAGCTCCAATACTGTCACGTTGAAATTGTGCACTTGTGCATGCATCAATGTATCATATTGTGATGGTGCTTTTATGAAACAAAACAATTTTTGGATACCTTTCAAAATCAATTATAGAGTGAAATGAGATCAGAATTCCGAAAATTTACCAGAAACTGGACTTTTTATGTATTGGGATTCAAGAAGTGAGGTATCTCGCTTTTTTATTTTTTACTTTTTTATTTTTTATTATCACTTCAATCTACCCAATCACAAAAATAGTAGAAAGAGATTAGTATTCACTTTTTGAGATCCTAACAATTTGCATTAACCTCACATATCTATGTTTACTGGGCAACTGCAGATTGCCCTCTCGCATGGCCTAATTAGTTTATACACCCAACCTGTAAATTGAAATCATTTTTGATGCTGTCAGTTCACCAGCTCAATTATAACTGAAACTAGAGGTGAGGATTCAAGTGACTCAAAGGAGAAAATGAGTGTCTGAGTTTTTTTTGCCGGGGCGTGTGTAATTTAGTTACCGTTGAAACTACTACCTGATCCAATTTTTCATTTGCTAGGTGTCTCTTAAATAGAGAAAAGAAAAAAACATAGAACCTATAAAAATCATTATATTCAAGAAGAACTGAATTAGGCTTGAGAATAGATGAAATAGGGCTGACCTTAGCTCAGATTGAGTGTGTACACTCCTCGGATTGTAATGTAATCAGCTGGACCACCTCACCAGGTTTTTTTTTTTTTTTTTTTGAATTTTCAAGCGACTGAATATATATATATATATATACATATATATATATATATATAAGAGAATAATTACATGATGGTCCATTTGGCCACACAGTCCATTGGACTGGAATGGACTGTGAGAACAAGCCCAAAAGTAGGTCACAGGAGAGAAGCCCAGAGAAGTTACTAAACTAATAACCTACATTAACAGCTTTTATTGACCGTTGATGGGGGATGTTAGTGCACGATTCTGGTGTGAAGCCCAAGCGGTCTCGGAGGAGGACGACAACAACAAGGACGACAACAAGAAGGAGACATGTTCTAGTTAGGATTTGCCTTGAGCAATCATGTAGGAAGCCCAATTTCAAGATTAAAGAGACCCCGGAGCAAATTTTCTTAAGAATGATCCTTTATATAGATTTCTTCTTTTTAAAGATCCGTTCATTTATGCTACTGAATCATGTGAGAAACCGGCAAGGAGAGATTATTAAGTAATTTGAATTATGTGGTGTCGACCAATCAAAAACTAGTATAGAATTAATAAAATTAAATTAAGAGCATCTAATAATTTTTCAATAAAAAAAACTATTGTGTTAAAGCAAGGGTAAATTATAATGACTTCCTTGAAGTTTGGACTAATTGCAACTAAACCTGAAATTTACCATTTTGTTACAATGTGACCCCCCGAGGTTTACCCAATTTTGCAAACGCCTCCCCTCCATACAAAAAGTAATACTTTTTGTCAGAAAAAATATTTAAAGTGACCAAAATGCCCATCAACCAATTAAAAAGACGTTATTACCCTTATAATATTATCAAATGACAAATTTTAATGAACAAAAATGCCCCTCCCCCTCACATTAAAATTTTATTTACCAAACACATTCAATTTATTTTATAAATCACTAATAAATTTATTTTTTAAGATTTTACAAAACTTAATTATCTTGAAAATAAATATTTAATTAAAATTTTAAATTCACATGTTAAATATGTAATTTATATTTAAATTTTATATTAATTACATTTTAATTAAATATTCAAATCAAATCTATATTTTAAAATAATATTTATTTACAATTTAAAAACAAAAAGATAATTTAATAATTATTATTTAGATTAATTAATTTAAATTTAGGATTGTTAAAGAAAGAGAAATTAGAACTCTTAATTTGCATTGATTATTTTTATTTTAAACTGCCTTACTCAATTTTATTTAGAAAAAAAACAAAGAAAATAAAAGAAAGCATAATTAAAAACCCAAACGCACCACCACTCCACTCCATTCAGCGCCACCGCCAATCCCCACCCTCCTTCACCACTCTTGTTTCTCTTTACTCTCAAACCCAACGACTTTTTCATTTTCGCCACCACCAGACCCACTATAGCCACTGTCATTAATTGTCTTTCAATACACACACACACACACCCCAGTGTGTATATGTACACACTCAAGAGCCACCACCAGACCCACTTCCACTACCATTAATTGTCTTTCAATATATATACGTGTATATATATACACTCAAGAGCCACCACCAGACCCACAACTATACCACTATATCACCCTTTTCTTTCAATATATATATGCGTGTATATATATAAATACTCAAGAGCCATAGATCGGAAAGCGCCGAACGGAGAGGTTTTTTCGGAATCCTACAATTCTTTGATTAACTAAATATCCAACTAGTCTAATTAATTGTCTGTTCTCATCTCGGTTTCTTCCCTGAACCTTCCTCTATACTCGGCCTGAGCCGACGATGTGGATGAAGAAAGATTCAAAGTCAAAAATTTTGGGGGAATACTTTTTGAGACTAGATGTGGAAACTGATTCCACACAGAGAAACCTTCTATTTAGTCCGAACCTCATGGAAGATTACTGTAGTTGCAATTAGTCCGAACCTCATGGAAGATCACTGTAATTTGCCCTTAAAACAACAGCTACCACTGTAGTTTGCCCTTAAAACAACGGCAATTAATTGGGAGAGAGTCGAAACAACAGCTTCCAACCAAGTGTTCGTGATGACGCGTAAAGATAGTCCCTCTCACATATATTTATTTATTTATTTATTATTTTTAAAGGTCGGACCAGTAAAAAGTCGAAAAGACGAGGGTCCAAAGATGGAGTCGGCTAACGTTATCCAAAACTTTTTAAGAGCGTGTCACAATTAGGACGAGTGAGCTCACACGGTAAGCCGCAAGTGCTCGCACGGGGGCATTCAATAATTCACACACACACACACACTCACACTCTCATATGCCATGATTTATGGAGGCAAAACCTTGGATTTTTTTGGGTGGATTCCTATATATTTTGTTGTGGGTGTACCCAATTTTTGGTCCTATGGAAGCACTTTGAACATCAATAAGAAGCTAGGGTTCAAGTGTCCAGTTCAATCAGAGGTTGTCCATCTTCATCATTATTGTGGTTTTTTTGCTCCAAAACTTCTTTTCTCCGGTGAGTATAGAATATATTCATTTTGTGTTTTTTTTTTTTTTTTTCTCCTTTTCTTTCTGTGATCTTACTTTTTGAACTCTCCTTACTTTGTACGGTAATTGACAAAATGAATAAAGCAGTTTTTCAATTACTGAAAAAAAAAGTAATAAAGCAATTTGTTCAAGAATTGTTTTGAATCCGAAGTTAAAACTTTGTTTGCACGTACAAAAATGAATAATTGTGGCCGTGTAATTACAATTTTGGCTGTTATTGGATAGTTTGAAGAAAACTGTTTAAATTGTTGTCAGTGTTAATATTCATATAGATTTATTTTACAAATGGATGCATGACAATAAAGTCTCTGTACCCGGACTTGCGAATTAAAAGTCATTTTACATAGAAATGACCATCTGGAGCTATCAAATTTTTTTTTTTTGGGTTCCTCTTTCTGTTGGGCTTGTTATCAACTATATTATTATTTTATTTTCTTTTAATCTGTTAGCTTCTTCTTTTTTTTTTTTTTTTGGAATTTTAATCTGTTAGCTTGTGGAGCTTTGATTGGTTACTTTTCTTATTTATTAATATGTACAAGCTTTGTTATGAATAACTATTTTGTGGCTAAATTTTTAGTAACCTTCATGTCATATACTATTTCACCCCCAAATCCATCTAAGTTCTGGAAAATTAAATAATCGATTCTAAGCCTTCAGAATGGGCAATCTAAATTTCCCTTGTAATAGTAGGAAAATTGAAACTGTCTTCAGATTTTCCTCATTTAGATGTTTTAGTTACATTCCCGAAGTGTTCTTCAACATTCCTTACCTTGTTCCTTTAGATGTACTATTCTTAGAACATGTAAAGATGTTTGTTGGCCCGTTTCTAGTTCTACACGTTTCGCTATGTCTGGTACCTAGTTTAAGAAAACAAACATTGCTTTGGGTTACTGTTAGCTTCACCATTTTGAAGGCATGAACTGAGCAGTCTTGTGCCTGTTAAGCAAATTAAATAACCCCTGAAAACACTGCTTTGCATTAAATCAAAGAACAAACCAAATACACAAATCAAAGAACAAACTAAATATATGACACAATACATAACTAATTATCAACTTTGACGCATTAGTTCTGCCACTTGAGGTAACTGAATAACGGTTTCTCCGGAACAGGTATGAACTTGACAAGCCAACCAATTGGCCATGAAATGAAAGCAATTCCTGTACATGCGCCCCATTGGCCCCAATCCAACCTCTCTGTACCTGCAAACATCTTCAGAGCTTCCACCATCACCGCCTGAAGAACTATGGTAATCCAAATGATCACTAAAAACAGTTTGTTCTTGTGTATCCCCTCAAAGACATTCTTCTTCTCAAGCTTTCTTGAATTGAATTCATTGAAAATTTGGCAAAGCACAAAAGTATTGAAGATTAGAGTGTCATTTACCTTCTTGTTCACCCTGAAGATTGATTCACCCCTGAATTGTAAGATCAAGACGACGGCTATTTGATACAAAGCTTGAGCTAATAGGTTCCTCCACACTATGTTGGTGATAAGGGGTTCAGTTTGACCTACAGGTGGCTTTTCCATGAGCTCCTTGGTGGGCTGCTCTGTGGCAAGAGCGAGAGCACCCAATGTGTCCATAATCAAATTTACCCATAGCAGTTGAACTACTGTTAAAGGAACTTCACCAACTGAAACTGCTGCCACAAAGTTAATGAAAAGTGCGGCAATATTCACTGTGAGCTGGAGCTGAATGAATTTATGGATATTGTTATGAACACACCTTCCCCACCTCAAAACATTGGTTACTGAAACAAAATTATCATCCAAAATGACAATGTCCGAGCTCTGTTTGGCCACTTCAGTTCCCTGAATCCCCATAGAAAGACCAATATTCGCTTCCTTCAATGCGGGTGCATCATTTGTGCCATCACCTGTAACTGCAACCACATGGCCTCTCTGTTTCAAGCATTGCACCATTAGTAGTTTATCAGAGGGAGTGGATCTAGCCATAACACATATTTTATCAACTTTCTCCTTGCGCTCCTCTGGTGTGTAATTCCGGAATTCAACACCTTCCACCACTGCACCTTCCATTTCCTGGTTAGGCCCAAGTATCCCGCATTCGGTAGCTATTGCTTTTGCGGTGAAAATATTGTCGCCGGTGATCATTTTTAAATTCACTTGAGCAGACTGACAATCTTCTACAGCTTTCTTCACACCAGGTCGACAGGAATCCTTTATTCCTACAAGCCCCAATAAGATCAGATCATTTTCTTTCAACTTTTGGTGTGCATTTCCATCTTCATGCTCTTCTGCATGAATTTCTTTCTGTGCAAAAGCAATGCATTGCAGACTGCTAGCAGCCATACCTTCAATTTTTCTATCAAATTTCCTCCTTTCAACATCATCTAGAGGTTTGATGTTTCCCAAGGGATCATAGAAATGTGAGCACATTGCCAATATCATCTCTGCAGCTCCTTTCCAGTGCACATTGATTGTGTTGTCGGCCTTTTTGCTCATTAACACACCACTTCGTTTCCTTTCTGAATTGAAGGGTTCAACATGGAGAGCAATACAGCTCTGCTTCACTTCATCCATATTCATTTTTAATTCATGGACAGCCCAAGAAAGAATTGCTTTCTCTGTGGGGCTACCAGAAAATTCGAATTCAGCGCCTGAAGCGAGCTTGTAAACAGTGCCAGTAGTGTTCAGACCAACTCCTTGGTGGAGCAATTGCAGAACATTGGCTGCAATTGAGGTGGAACTCTCATCTTCTATCAATTCTTGGCCTGGCCAAAACTTTGTCACCTTCATCTGGTTCAACGTGATGGTTCCTGTCTTATTTGTACATATGACAGTGGCAGAGCCCATATTCTCAAAGGCTGAAGGGTTTTGAACCATAGCCTGATCAGCCATCATTCTCTTCATTGCATAAGCAAGAGTAAGAATTGCTGCCAGTGGAATCAATTCAGGAATAGAAACAACACCTGCAGTGATTGCCGTAACCATAATTCCTTTTTTTCTTGGTAAGTAGGCACTGATAATCCCCACCGCATCATTGATCTTATCACCCGCTATAGTTTTGCTATCATTAGACTCTCTATTCTCATTCTTATCTTTTGTATTTCCAGTGAAGCACCGAACCAACCGCACCACGAGAACGAGGAAAGCGACTGGCAAAGCAACCTTAGCTATAGAGAAGGTTAGCTTCTTTAGCCGAGCTTGTAATGGTGTTTGCTCATAAAAAACAGGGCTGATTTTGCTCATCTTCACGCCCCACTTTGTGTTCATTCCAACTGCAGTGACAAGCATTCGAGCATACCCATCAACCACCTTGGTGCCAGAGATCAAGAAGGGGTTCTGATCGCGATTGACTTCCACATGTTCACTTTCCCCTGTCATGCTCGATTCATCCACCTGCAATGAATGCCCATCTATGAACAATCCATCTGCAGGAATTTGATCTCCACTCTTCAAACAAACAATATCTCCAACAACAATTTCAAATATTGGGATCTGTTGGGGCCACCCGCTCCTCACTACTTCTACTTTGATGTTGTGGCTGACCTGTGACAACTTGTGGATTTGTCTATTTTGTTTGAAGTTACATACAGCTGAGATAGTGATGACAAGAAAGATGGCCACAATTATACTACCACCGTCATACCATCCTTCTTTCGGCCCATGATCTTTGATGCCAAAAGCAAGGGAAAGCAGGGCACACACGAAGAGGATGAGCATGGTCGGATCTTTCATAGCTTCCCACAAAAAATGGAAGAAACCTTTTGTGGGCGGCTTGTGATACGTGTTTGTGCCAAAAGCTTTATGTCTATGCTGAATCTCTCCAGCATCACCGTGTATCCCGTTTTTCACTTCAGTTTTGAGATTCTTACCCAGACCTTCAACACCCCCAAGTTGAACAAGATTGCCCAAAATTTTCTCCCTGACAAGTTGAGTGAGGCTTGACTGATCAATATCGAAGAAGCAAGAGTCTGATTGATCTCTCTTGATTTTGGCAATAGAGAACAAGGCCCTTGAGCAATAGATGGTGGCAAGAGCCCTGTGCCATCTCTTTTTGGCTAATTTGCTAAGCGTGGTGTTGGGCATGTGGAGCGAGAGGTCCCTGCAACGCAAGTTTGGATCAAGTATTGCAGACATGGTTTGGAGAAGAGAGAATGAAATCACTGACAAAGATGGATGATCTTGAAGAAAAGCACTACAATAACTAAATTGCAGTAACGCAGGAAATTAAAGGACTGTGAAAGGAAAAGTAAGTTGTATGGTGTTCTGAATATTGTTGAATCCAATCTCTTAAAAGCAAAAAAAATAAATTGTGCAGTGTTGACTAAATAAAAATGGGCGTGGATTGGAATCTCACCTATTAACGCGTACGATTATTCTTATCGCGGGAAAGTGACAATTATATACTAGTAGTTAAAAATCTACCATAATTACAAGGCACAGTTGTCAGTAGACTCGCCACATGGTCAATTGTGTAGCAGCAGGTACGTTATCCTTTGGCTTTGGGAAAGGAATTCAAATTTCTTGTGCTTGGGTTTTGTTCAAAACAAAATAAAAAATCAAATTATGGTGAAATAATATGGCATTAGTACTTCCCAAAAAAAGAGTTGGGTACATAAATCTTAGGTTACTTTTGACCCAATGCCAACAAAGACTATGGCAGCCCAGCAGAAAGAAGGTTTGAAAAAAATGCTATCGTGTGGCACAGGGTGGTTAACTTTTTACGTGCTATCCTTCAAAGTAAAAGTTTCTCATTTATGACCAAAGGAGACTAAATTCGTTTTTAAAATTCTAAACCTTCCTAGGTTGGTTATGTGTCTCTTCAACAATGTGAAAAGATGACTAATAGTATGAAGTTTCAAAAACTAACCCTTCTCATTGCTCACCTTGCACCCCCTAAAGTAGGCCCTTCCTAATGCCTAGCTTGGATTGAAGGATTTGGTGATAGGAAAAGAAAAGAAAAGAAAAGAAAATAAAATGAAGTATAAGTATTGTTGTGTTTGGATGGGAGGATTTGACGAGAAAAGAAAGGATTGAGAAATCAGAGAAGATTTGAAGAGAAAAGAAAGTAAATTTAGTGGCATTTTCATAATGCCAAAACTAATTTCTAAAATTAGGTACAAAAATTTGTTATTCTTGTCCTTCTTACGTAACAATCATTTAGGGCAAATATTCAAATTCGGTGCAACAAGCAGCACAGAAAAAGGATAGAACTTGTAACTCTGACTTCTCCTCTTCTCCAGCCAGGCTTCCAACAAAGAAGTTATTGTCAATTTCTTCCTTGGAATATAGATCCGTTCATGATCTGTATTCATTTGCCATCCCAAACTCTTTTCTAAAAAGCAAGAAAAAATAACACAAGAGAGTGCTCATTCTAAATCTATAGATACCGGAAAAGCCACTACCAGTGCTCATTTTAATGTTCTTAAATATTAAACCAGACCAGATTACGTATCTATATTGGATGGAACTTGTGTGCAATAAATACCTTCTGTACCAGTACATCAATTTGAGGCTGTACAAAGAAAACAAATTCTTGTTCAAATAATGAAGGTTATCTTGTATATCCATATAAACATTGAAATTAGAGTTCTTAACATTTTTTTTTTAATTTTTTTTTTGGTGTTATATTTTATACTTGTCTTTCTAGGGTTACCTTAATCTTGCCAAGTACCATTATTATTAGCAGGATGTTGTGAAGCTAATCACACATTGCAAATGCATCTTCAATGATCTCATTATATGTCTAGCTTGCTGGTTTTTTCAAGAACTTCATGGTTGACCATTAGCAATATTTTTTCAATTATATTTTGTTAAAGGAAGATGAGAACATGTTATAGTCATGTACATTTACTTTGTTATATGTGATATATATATATATATATATATATATATATATATATATATAGTTTACATCAATTAATCATATAAATATAGGTAGGGAATTAGTCCCACCTAAGCTTAGAAAGGTGTAGGCTTTGAAAACAAACCATTTGATTTCAATTAAATATAAAAAGCTAAGATAATAATTTAGTTATTATTATTTATTTTCTTTTCTCTCATCTGTTTTATTCAAACAAGAATATTATCATTTGTTTTTTTTTTCTCTCCTATCTATATCCAAATATGAATATAAATAATAGCTATCATTTCATTTTCTTTCTTTACTCTCCTAACTAATGTTATTATTTCTTTTCTTTTTTCTCCTGTGTATTTTTTTAATCATTTCTTTTCATATTTAAGTTGAAATTTTAGAATAACTATATCATATTTTTATATTTGTCCTTTTAAATTGGGATATTAAAGTAGTCAATAATATCATTTTCCAATTGAAATTAACCTACAGAATCATCACAAGTTTGAATAATTAAAGATTGAGATAAAACCTCTTGCTTAACGGATCAGGATTCTATCTATATACTCCCTCCATATATATATTAGTTTTCCATTGTTTAAGGGTATATATTGTTTTTTTTTTTTTTGAAAGATAAGGGTATACATTGTTCCCTTTAAAATTACTTACATGTTTTTTAAGTTTAAATATGTATATAACAGAATTAAAATATTTATGAAAACTTACTGGGTAGTAGTGATGGAAAAGTAACATCATTTTCTTATCACTTTTCAAATGGAATAACTAATTTGGAATATCATAAAAAGGAAAAATGGGTTATTAAAAAGAAAAACCTGGTTTGCCACTCATAAGTCATTATTAAGAATACGAAAAATAAAAAACAGTTTTCTGAAAACATTATGTCTTTTTATAATTGAGTTTTCAAAAAACCGAATCAAGCAAAGTTTTTGTATAATTTTTTGATTCTCAATTCTCTAAAAATAAAAACTGCCCAAATTTCCTTTCATTTTTTGAAATTAAAAGATTCAATTTCTAAAAATAGTATGTTTCTTATTCACTAGCAAGGAGTGCTTCTACTTATCACGGGACTATTTAGCTAACGTTTTTGCTTCGTAGTTTTTGCTTTTGTTAGTGTACTATAGGCTACGGTGAAGCAAAAACACAAAATATGTTTGGTAATGTTTACTGTCATTTAAATAATATCGAAACGCTTTCAAAATTGAAGCCAAAACTGAAAGAATAAAAATAATATTTTTGTTTACTTCCGCACTGTAACACATCACTGTTCATATATATCTAAAATCACATTTTTAATTAGTCATTTAATATATCAAATTTACAGCACTTTTTACCAAACATGTTTTTACTTTCAAAATTTTTGTAGCAAATTTACATTACCAAATAAGTTTCGAAATAGTGTTGAACACATTCTAAAATAGAAACCGATTAAAAACAAAAGCAGGAAGCAATGACTAACACGAGCCTATACCTTTTAAGACATTCAAAGAATAACCCACCGTTCCCGCATGCAGTTTCCTGGAAATTTCGTTGCCTTGCAAGGAAACTCCAAAGAACCCATCTTCTATTATGATGAACTGAGTGATATTCTTTTTGAAACTTTTCAATTGTTAGCATAAACAAGTTCTTTAAAATTTTGGTTGAACAGCTAAATTTTACTTTTGATAAAAAATTTCAATTAATTTCTTAATTCATTAAAATAATTTTTTTTTTTTCTTTCCAAGATTGCCTACAAATATCATTAGTGCAATTTTTATAAAAGAATTATATATATATATATATATATATATAAAATACTTAAATTTACATAAACATACTAAATCTCACATGCATGCTTTCCTATGCCGTTCCGTTCATACGAAAAATTGATTGATTTTCCCTCCCCATCCCGTCTGGAACAAGCATGCATGTGTACCTTCCAGGCTTCCAGCACGGCTAGATTGACAATCTCGCCTATACGCAATGTACTAGCTCAATAGGAGTGGTGGACCGGACCTCTTTGAGTTGAAGGAAATGACTCAATGTGCTGACGTAACTGCTGGCGTGGCAGTACTTGTTCTAGTCATTTCTAAAACAATATAAAATGATTAACAAAAGTGAAAATAATTAAATAATTTTGTACATGAATAGTGAAAGTTTTAGGGTTTGTTTATTTTTAGTACAATTAGTTGAATTTAAAAAACTTATTAAAATCTTGCTAATCTGGTGGTAATTAAATTTATAATTTTATTATTAAAACACCAACTATACCATTTACTATTAATTAAAAGTATGACTTTATTGTTCTTTTAAGTTTTTTTTTGGATTTATTTATCTTTAGAACTAAAAAATATGACTAACTAGTAATTTTTAGTATTCTTTTTCTCATCTCTCTCACATTCTAAATATTCAGTTTCAAACAACACTTTAAATAAATATTAGCACGTAATTATAGAACTCATTAAATAAATACAATTTTTTTTTTTTTTTTTTTTTTTTTTTTTGAGAACAATATATAATTGGTTGTTTACAAAAATGGCACGAAATCACTGAATGAAGAAACAATAAAGAAAGTGATTCGTCAGGTGAGTATTGAAGGGTTTTAGTTCTGATTTTGATTCGTGCACATGGATAAGATGAGGCAGCCTGTGATATTTGGTCAATATATATTTATATTTTATTTTTTTTTTTAACTTTAAGAGCCTATGGGTATGCCAACAATTTTTTCAGTTAACATGCGGAGTTTTCATGGGTTACTTTTCTTATTTTATTTTTTGTATTAATATGAACAACTTTGATATAAACAGTTAATTTAATTCTGGGGTAATCATGTCAGATAGTACTATTTCATATCCAACTAAGTTCAGTATGGGAAATCTATTTTCATAATTTTCCCATTTGGATGTTTTTAAGTTACATTTCGCCTAACAAGGGTGAGCGGGCATAGCAGCCCAAACAGCCTATAAAAAGACCCCACCCAGTTTCGAGCCCAAACAAGACTAAGAACAGCCCGCGCAAGCCCAAGAGAGCAGCATAATCGCCGCGCTGTGCAACGATTAAACAGAACCGGATTTCTCAGGTGGACATGGCCTCCCCACTCGGAGAAGCATTCCGGCAAGGATCAGGAGGACGTGGAGGTGGCTTGATGGAAGATGAAGGTAAATCCCACACACGCTGAGCAGCCCAAGCCATCTTTGAAAGAATGATGCAACAATCTTTCCGTAATTGTGTTCCTGATCTCTGTGCTGTGATTTGCAGGAAACACCCTTGAAAATGCGTGAGTTTTTCTCAATCCAAATATGGTAGATGGTTGTTGAGAGTGCCAATTTGTTGATGGTATTTACAATACTCCTAGATTTCCAGTGATGTGAAGCCCAGAGAATTAGGTCATTCCATGATGGAGGAGAGATGTGGAACCCACAAAGCCTCTGTATGTAATTCCAAATTGGTCATTCCATTATTGTTACTGCCATTGTATGCTTTAAAGAGTACAT